GGGCAGTTGGCCGCATGTAAAGAAATTTGTCTCTGAACATCGTTCGCTGATACCGCTGATGCGTACTTCTCCTCAGCATCGTTGAGGGAGTTGACGTATGTTTGGTGATGCTTGGAGTGGTGTAGCTAATAATCCCTCCGAGTTAGCACTAGCTCAATACATACATTCACTCACCCTTCCTCACTATTTGAAAGGGGAGGGGGAGTGTGCATACCTCCATGATCTTCCCGGAAATGGCCGGCTCGAGGGCTGCATAGTCGTACGGAAGGTCCGGGAGGGTATGCTTGTAGCGGATTGATGATGTTAGGAGACTGCGACGGGCAATTGTAGGGCGGACGATGCGGAGGAGAGACATTTTGTACGGTTGAGGGGGCATCTGGGGAATTGGGTGGTTTGGTGAGAGTGGTGGTGGGGGAATTGGGGGGGATGGGGAGTGGGGGATGGAGGGATGGAGAAATACGTCATTTTGATGAGTAAGCGGTCATCAGGTATCACTCGGATGACTCTGCATGCTGTTGGGGATGAGTACGGGAGTAAAATGGGATACAGGGTGTTAACGGGTGTCTTCTCAATTTTGACCGGTTTGTGGGCTCTCCTCCCTTTACTCGAAATGATTCCTAGAAGGGTCTTTGGCCCGCCCTACGGCGATTGCTCTTAGTTTCGCAATCGGGTGGTTGTTTAGACAAGAAGTCCTCAATGGTTATCCCAAGTGAGTTCACATCACTGCTGTGTCCACGCACAGAGCTCTGTGGCAAAGCTGCTAATAGCAATACTAGAGAAAACTAGTGTCATGTTATGGAAAAGGTTGTTTTACTCTTTGGTGTGATATTTCCCATTCCATCTAAAAAAATCCAATCGACCTTAGTAATGTTAAGCACATGGACGCTTTTTTTCAGGGCGATAAAATACAAGCAAAACAGACCAGGGGCAAGTGCAACCGTAACTCGGGGCCGGTAAACAGATAATTTCCAACAGCTAGAAACAGAATAATAATTAAACCACCGAATGCAGGGGTGGCTTTATAGCCTGCGCGCGTGGTATCGTAGAGTTTAGATGCACTCTTGTGGGAACACTCGAAAACAGTTTTGATATAATAAGTTCGACTCTCCAGTTTTGCAAGAGTCGACTCGGTCCTTCAGCCTGAGGTATGGATGAATTCCCCAGGTCTAGTGCATCCATCCTTAAACCTATCTCGGCTGGTGTCTCACCTACTTGTTCCATTTTCAAGGCCGCCACTCAAATCTTTGAGCAAAGAGTGCTAGGGATACATTCAAATGGTATCTCAGAAAAATAACTTGACTGTCCGAAGGCCCCTGGACAACAAAATTAATGGTTGCAAGGATGGGAAACAATGCCAGCAGCCCGGAAACGATTTCCCCAGCCCGAGACCGAACACAATCTCGCAGAAACCATGATCAAAGTTAGAGTTAACCATTTCCTCTCGTCGCCCAGGTATCTCATCTGGTCGGTCACCTGCACCGAGCTCACCTCCAATCGGGCATGATAATAAAATACACCCCCCTCCGTCCGTGGCGCTAACAAAAAGACTCGTTCGAAGGAACCAATGTAAGGAAAACAACGATTTACTTCTAGATAACGAGCGTAGCACCCCATGCACTCGAGTGGGCCGGGTATACACTGTGGGTTTTTTTCGCGCACCGTTGATACGGTAGTCGCACAAAAGTACCTGGATAATATACTTGTGTTACTGTTATTGGGCACCGATATCGGTTTGTCTCACGATCACTGGTAGCACAGTTCTAGTGATTTACCGGTAGGAGACACCTGAAACATGGTCAGGTAACTCTGGGAGACCGAGCGTCTACCAGTCAGTAGTCTTTGGGCATCCGGCGGCGCTTGCAATTCGGCGGTGTTTTCAAGAGGTTTTCGTTCACCAGTACGGGATTGGTGGGGGGTGAATGTGACAGGGTGAATGTGGCTTAAGTAATAATCCAGCGGCTGAAAGGTAGAGTGAAATTACCGTACGCCAGTAATGTTACTGCTAATGTTACAGCATCTGGCTGGTAAGTTATAGCCCAATCACCAGGCACTATCATAATTAAATTTCAAAACACTGCTCAGCTAAAACTCGTATGGCTTACTTGGGTGGAAAGCACCGCACTTCTCTAATACTTTGGCGAGTAAGTGTGTTTGCGCTCTGGTCTTGATGCCAGGCGGCATTTCTACCGACGAGCAGGCTACAAATGCCATCCGCAATTCAATCTACCACGCCCTTCTGTCGCAAGACCACAGGTTCAGCCAGCGCGAGCTACCATGCCAGAAATGACAAGACCGCAGGGGACTTGACGGGTCTGGAAACGCCAGCCTACAATCTTGAAGTTCATGCTTTGCTCTTCGGTGGTTTCTACTTGGTTCTATATTATGATGTGAACCTGCTCAACACCTTTATATTGTATGTGCATTTGCAATGAACAAGTGAGTAAAGGAGCAAGCAGTAAGAAAAGTAAATAATATTATATTAGAACATGACTTCCATTATTAGACCTATTCTACTTCTTAGATTTCCAAATCAGTATCCAAATACTACTTCCTATTTCCTGAAAATAAACTAGTATAAATGTAGCCTTTGTAAAGTAAATCTATGTTATCAAAAACAACATAGATTTACAGTACTATGGCTTCTCTGTTGAGATTTATATCACCATGCAATTATTGCAAATTACCAAAAGGTAATGCATGAAAGCAAGTGGTTTTTTTTTCTATCTATACTAGAATATGTCCTTCCACCTACTTACCTGTATTTCCATCCTACCTATTCTTATATGTTTTTCTCCTATTTGAATTAGTAAATGCTCTCCTACCAGCCCACCTATATTTCCTCCCTTCTGTTAGTAAATGCCCTCCCACCAGCCCACCTATATTCCCTCCCTCTTGTTAGTATATGCCCTCCCACCAATCCACCTATAATTCTATCTCTCCTGTTAGTAAATGCCCTCCTACCTGCCCACCTATATTCCCTCCCTCCTATTAGTAAATGCCCTCCTACCTGCCCACCTATATTCCCTTCCTCCTATTAGTAAATGCCCTCCTACCAACCCACCTATAATTCCATCCCTCCTATTAGTAAATGCCCTCCCACCAGCCCACCTATAATTCTATCCCTCCTATTAGTAAATGCCCTCCCACCAACCCACCTATAATTCCATCCCTTCTGTTAGTAAATGCCCTCCCACCAGCCCACCTATAATTCCATCCCTCCTATTAGG